GGGCACCGAGGGTCTGGGGCAGCAGGCTGGGATGAGGGGGGACAGGAGCAGCCCAGGTACCCCTCTCGGTCAGGGCAGAGCCTCAGGCCGGTGGGTGGTGGGTCAGCAGAGCCCTTACCGAGCTGGGCCCGATCCAGAAGTTTTCCTGCTGGATGTACTTGACGCTCTCGTAGACACCCTTGTTTCTCAGCACCTGACAAGCCAGGCCAGGGTCAGGTCCCGTCGAGGGGGCTGTTTGGGTGCAGCCCCCTCTCCTTCTGCTCAGAGGTGGCTGAGCAGCCCCCTTCATCTGAGGGGAAGGGCTGCTGGGTCCCACCAGCGATGCACAAGGGAGAGGGAGGGCAGCTCTGCTGCCAAGCTGGCACGCTCTGCGCCAGCACGCTGCTGCAACACGCTGCGGCTCATCCAGCAGACATGGACCCTCTGCACCAGCTACTTCATGGGGCCTCTCCAACAGCAGCAGCCAGCAGCACCCCAAGGTGCTCCCAGCCCTAGCAGGAAGCAGGGGATACTGGTGGTCACAGTCCCCCCAGGAAGACAGATGCCTGCTCTACTCTCCAGCCCAAGTGCTGGGGGAGCAACACAGCTGGCCACAGGTTCCCAGGATTAACCCCAACAGGAGGATCCCTGTTCCAGAGTGTTCAAAGCACCCCCTGGACACCAGCCCGGCTTTCCTTGGCACTAGCTGGTTGCCATTTCAGAGTCAGACATGTCACCAGAGAGCCAGGAGGGGACAGCCCTGGCCAGTAGCTCTTAAAACTTACTAACTCTCTCGTCACATGCTGGGCGAAGCCGATGGGCGCGATGCCGTAGGTGCCGATGACCAGCAAGGTGATGAGGATGTGAACAAAGGTGATCCAGTATGTGAAATAAGGCCTGCAGATGAAAGGACCCCAAATTTGAGCATCAAAAGGATGGTTGGGCACAGTCCCCCAAGCCCTGATCCCAAAGCATCGAGGGGGACACACATCTGAGATCTGAGTTACAGCTGGGGAGCCCCATGCCCATCCCCGTCCCATCAGTCCCCCTGACCGGTGGCTGTCGGTGATTTCCAGCTGCGACTGCACGATGCTGCTCAGGCTGCGGCGGTACGTCCTGTTCAGCCACTTCCCCACCACCCCCAGCCCGTAGTAGCGTTTCTTGCGGTCGAAGGCAAAATGTTTGACTGTGGAAGCGATGCGCCTGCCTCGCCGGGGAGCTGGGCCAACACCCGCGGAGGATGAAGGGAGCCGGACACCCTCCCGCCTGCAGAGACAGAGGAGAAACCCACCACGCCTGACAAAAGGGACCAGCTGAGAAATCCCCCACGTGCAACGCCAGAGTCACAGTCCAGAGCTGGGGACAGCCAGGGGATGCCTGGGATGGAGGCAAGGAGCACTGCTTGGCTTCATCCACCCAGGAGCATGCCAAAAGTGCCCAGTGCCCCATGGCAAGGGACAGCTGAGGACATTGTCCTGACTGCAGCAGGGGAGATGGGTGGCTTTGGAAGCAGCACCCACCAAGAGCTGGTACTCACGGGGTGGGCTGCTCCACCTCGGGGGACACCCTGGCATCCTCCCCCACCGGGTGCATGCGTAAATACGTGGCTGATAGAGGTGGTGACTCGAAGACATCATCGGGCATGGAGTATGTCTCGTCATGCACGTCCATCTGGAAGGAGGACAGAGATGTGTTCTTGGATGTGTGCGATGGGCAAAAAGCTTCTCTCTGCACGAGCACGCCCATCACCAGGGCAGCACAGCTCCACCTGGCTCTGGAGCCTGGGGAGAGGGTGATCCCTACTGACATCCCACCTAACTGCAGGTCACAGGGTGTGAAACATGCCCACAATGGCATCGTCGCTGCCCACTGCCCCCAAGGAGCATCACCAAGACTGGGGCTCCACAGCATCGGGCACAACGGGCACTGATTCCCCCGCCACCAGGGCAGGGCAAAGCATCGATGTGGAGGTCCCTGTCAGACCCGCTGTGCAGGGGCACTGGGACCTCTCCTCACTCCTAGCGCTTGCCTTACTGAAGAACAGCGCTTGCCTTACTGAAGAAGGACGAGTCCAGGGTATCGGCTGTATCCACCATGTCCTCGTCCATGAAGCTGGGGTAGATGAAACTCCTCTTGTTGCTCCTCTGCTTGGGAGCCAGCGGCTCCAGGACAGAGCGTCCCTTTGGCAAGGGGAAGCAAATGAGGGTAAGCAATCAGAAGTTTTTACAGCACCAAAAGGTTTCTTATAGCCTCCCCCGCCAAAGCCAAACAGCAAACATTAAATCCCAACTGGCCACCATATCTCCCCCCAGCATGAGAAGGGCAGGAGCTGGCAGGAGATGCTGCCTTTAGCTCCCGAGAGCCAGAGTTGGAGCGTGACCATGTTAGTCAGCACAACAAGTGAACACTAAATCCCCTGTTTGGTATCAGTCCCACAAACCCAACTGAGGCTTGCCCAGGGCTCCCCAGGGACTAGAAAGCCTGCTGCCCCTGCAGCAAAAGGTCTCCTGGTTCCACAGCAGTGAAACCCAGAAGCTGCTTTTTTCTAGGGATGCCATGCGAGATAGTTCCACTTTGGAGGTCTAGTTTTCACCAAAACTTCTCTTTTTAAGCAGAGCACAGGTTAAAAACCACCAACTTCCCCTCTCAAAGCTGCCCTGGAAAGACAGTGATCTCCGTGCAAAGCAAAAAGCCAAGAAGCAAAGATGATGGGGGAGGGACAGGGCTGAAACCTGAGTCAGGAAGATGACCCCCTCCAGCTCCCCAAAACTCACGCGGAGAAGAGCTGCAGCCGCCTTGAAGCTCATGTGGGCGACGGACTCCCTCTTCCTGCGTGGCAGGCGGCCGTAGCCGGAGTGGATGCTGTTGAAGGACATCAAAGAGACGACGCCGGGGGTGAGCGGGGGCAGGACATGGTGGGGAGTATGGGGACGGTCAGTCTCATCAGGACGGCGGAAGGGACGGCCCCTGGCCAGTGGGTCCACAATCTGGAGGAGGGAAGAAGTGTCAGTGCCAGGAGAACAAGGTTGAGAGCCAGATCTTGTGCCCCGAGCTCTACCTTGGGCATCTTGGCGGGCTTGGGTGACTCGGTGCCTTGGAAGGAGGGCACCTCCTGGCTGGGCAGCTCCATGTCGCGGTAGGCAGGCTTCAGCTTGCCGTATCTCATGCTGCAATGCTGCAAGCTCTTGCGTTGCCACTGCTGCCGCTTCCCCTCCCAGTCGCCGCTGACACCAAACCATTGTGCCGTGCCCCTGGACACACGATGGGTACATTTGTCACCCAGCTGGTCCCCGCACCCCAGGTATTGCCAACCCACTCAGGCATCCCCTCCAGGAGGTGATTTGGGTTGGGGTGTCTCAGCTCAGCCCACAGCAGGGAAAGTTTTGACCTGGCTATGGGTTGGGGAAGGGGACAGGATGCTGCAGAGGGGTCACTGGCCTTTGGGTCTCTCTGGAGAGGTAATTCCATTGAGACTTGCACCTTGCATGGGACATTGCATCAGCTCTGGGCTGCAGCAGACATCCAGCTCAAGGTGCTTTTGAAAGTCCTACATAAACAGGGCAGAGAAATTTTCCCAGTGGTTTGAATTAATACTAAACAATCCTGCTGTGGGATTATCCCCAGGCAGATACCACCAGCGTGTCAAAGCAGAGCTCCATGAAACCCTCCAAGCCATTTCCTTCTGAGCCTCAACTCTCCATCTCCATCCCAAGTCCTCTGCCAGTACCCACAGCCACAACACCCCAGCAGGGACCAAGGGACCCCTCTGGTGACACAGCTGCTGCCAGAGCCCACCCAGCCCTCACTTGCGGATGCTCTGGGACAGGGAAGTCTGTCGGCGGAAGCCGGGCTGGCGCTCCAGATGGGGCTCCTGCAGGCTCTTGCTCTTGCGGTAGATGGGGACCTTGGAGGGCTGGAAGGCAGAGCAGGGTGTTAGGGACAGGATGGCACAGGGGGAGGTCCCGTGGGGACAGGAACCCCCCAAGCCCAGTGTGGGATGGATGCAGCTCCCTGCTGCTCACCTTCTTGCGGACACCATCCTCCTCTGTCTCCCGGGGGGGG